CAAATACCTGGTGAAGAGAAGATAGTATTAGCCAGTGCAAAATGATAGTGACTAATAAGTTTTCCTCATCAACTTATGATGGATCTATCTATACATTTTAAAAGGTGTTTGGTTAAAACAGCGTGTCATTTTTGCAAATTAAGGTAAATGAGGCAGTCAATGAGCACTGGTTTATACACTTCTGTATCTGTTCTGAGCACATGATTTGCCTTGTGTACTTACTTAATATAATTTTAATATAATTTTCTTAAAATGGTTAAATGTGTTCTTTTAGTTGTACTACTCAATTGTGAGTGTTTTAAATAACTACTTTTCATTACAAAATAAGTGAGATAAAATCATGTAATTCCAACTGTTTGTTACACCCTGCAATGTGGTGTACAATGAGTCCTATGGGTGCAGTGTAAATGCACCTATATACACTGTAGTTCTATTCTCAGAGTTGTCACACAGTATACTGTATTATATCGGTAATTTTGATTTCACAGCCATCTATCCCTGTCTTCACACTAAACACACAGCTCCAGCTTGCCATCTAGAGTCTGATGCAGTTAATGAAAGACAAACCCGCAATACTTAAAGCAATACTTAAAATGTTCCAGGACACAACAGCATCACCAAATCTCGGTTTTCCAAGCTCTTGACTGATATTTTGAAAATCTACATAGATGGATGAAAAGCTGAAGATGAATAACAAAGTCAGTAAAACAATGACAACTCTAAAAACAGGACACCTCATTATGTGTGCCATTAGCAAGAAATATAGACTTCCACATGTCTTATTCTCGTCAGATTATTGTTCACTATCTGTGAAACAAATTATAAGTCACTGGTCACCAAGAGTCACCTAGTCATAGATTCAAATTGTATTTGTTCATTGTGATATTTTATTGATTTATGTGTTTCATGCTATTCATGAAAAACAAACTGACTTCAAACATGTGAAACTTTCAATGTGTCTTTGACCCAGGGGAGATACTGCACTTCAAATAGTCTGAAATATCGTAATTATTTACCAGATTACAATCATAATTTACCAGTAATACTTTCGCTACTACAACAAGTAAAAATGTGAGCACTGATGTAGGACTATGCTAAGTATTAAAAATAACATTATGTTCATAGTTTAAGTTTAGTTTTCATAAATTTATATAATTTTAGATAATGGCAATGAAATTGTCAAAACCTGTTTAACACATAAACAAAATACTTTTGCACTGTTAGACAAGGTTGAAGGTTTATATTTTACCTGTTACTTTATTTCCCAGTACCCCTCTTTATGGAATATGACCATTTTACCATTGTAAGAATGCTATTGTTTTATTTATATAGATTTACACCAGTAGCTTTCCCCAAACTCCCTTCCCATGTTAGTTCCCTTTCTTTCATGTAGAGTTCCCAAGGATTCCCAAAGCATATAAAAGGTCTTGCATTTATTTACTTACAGTCTAATATAGGACCTACTGTATATGTTGAGCTTTTCTGCTGCAGCTCCACATTACTCTGATTAATCTACTGTTGAATTTTCAATCTATTTCTGGAGATCTGTTTTTGTGTCTTGAACATACACATGTGAGTATTTTGTTTTCATCAACCACCATGTGAGTAGCAAAACTGAATTTAAATCAGGGCTGGGAATCACTGCAGAGCTGTTTTACTTCACAGTAGAGCTTCAAACAAAGGTCTTACCAGTCAACATTAATTCACTCCAACATAAACTGGAAAGGCTATATATTCTTCTTTACAGCTTCCCAAATTAAAGTTTTATGCAGTAAAAGCTGATTTCCTCAGTTTTAGGTCATAGTTAATTGGATACAAGTAAGTAAAGTAAGTAAAATGTAGGAATTTGAAAAGTCAATATCCTGCTTGCACTGATCTGCGCCCATTTACAGTACACTTAATATGATAATACTATTACTATAAATCTACACACAAAGATATAGTCTTTGGGTGTACTGTACAATAATATGTGACACTTTAGCTGCAATCTTTGGAAAATAGTCGTTTTAATTTTTTTAATTAACTTTAGGGCTTTAAGGAACAGCAAACAGAATATTATGTTAAGAGAGTCTTAAAGGATTATAGGAATACCTTTAAAACAGCTGATAAGGTTGTTAAACAATCTTCTAGTGTTTTGACATAAGGCCACGAGTTCATTATTCAAGAAAACACACAAACAAACAAACAAACAAACCTAACTATAGCTCCATGACTGGGGTATCATAACCAGACTGTATACTGAGAGGCGCACACTGGGGCAGCATCCTAGCTAACGTTAGCAGGTAAATTTAGGTCCATGAAAAATATATGAAATTAAATTTAATTAATATTTGTGCGTAGTAACAAAGTATAGTATAATGAGCTAAAACACCTGCAATGACCGGCCAAATTATGGCTGGGGACTAATGTCAGACTGTAAAACAAAACAGAAGCTAACGTTAGCTTAATTAGAAAACTCGCGCTAGCTAATCTTAGCTAATCTTAGCTAGCCAGGCTAACTCAGTTCAACAACTAACGTTAACGTTATTATAAGATAAATGTCAATTACCTTCCAGGGCTTTCCATCTGTTTCTTCAGAGCCTGGAACGAAACGCCCATAGCGTTTTAACCTCCATGCCCGACTGCTGGCCATTTCCAGTAACTTCAGACAAATAATTTCGTTTTCTGACAAACCAACCCCTGATGTAAAGTTACTAACGCTAACTAACGTTAACTAATGTTAACCAACGTTAACTAACGTTAACCAATGTTAACCAACGTTAACTAACTACAGTGTGAACCGGACGGCTGCATGATGGCGAACTTGGTGCGCAGTCAGCACACTGAATGAATACATAGATAGCAATATAGAATATATAGAAGATAGTTATCATCACAAACAGTCCGCTTGTGTTGACAAGGACGTTTAATGTGCTCTCTGTTTAAATTATACACAGGGCTGAAAACAGTTCTTTATTGTGCTAAACAATGATAAGCCAACATATAGCTATTCTGTTAACGGATGTATTTATGAAAACACTGTCGACTAAAGTTATAGAGCTGTGGTCTGGTTGTGATCTGCAAGTCCTGCAGGAGTGCATGGAAGTGCAAGGAATGCTGGGATAAATATCTTTGCCTTCTACTATATATATATATACACATTTTTTTCATATTCTGAATTTGTTTTCTTGCTTCATACAAAACTTTATTTTTAAGGACCACAGATATGTTGTTCTGTGACTCTAATGTAGTCATAAAGGAAACAATTTATTTAGTTTTTATTTGTTGTGACCTAGATATACACAGAGTGGGACATTTAATGGTGGACAAACTATTTAAAGGTGACACTGTTTCTAAAATTACCTCAAACCTGGTTTGGCATTTAAGTTCTGCAGTTTCTTGTTGCCTATTGTCCGAAATATACAATGATACCAATATATCTGCAATAAGCTTACATCAGTCGACATATCAGCCTGGCCAATGTATTGGTCCAGCTCTATTAGATGTCTGCCATGTCTAGCTCAAAGCAGTTTGCCTAAAAACATCTAGTCTGATCTCCCCACTGTATTGTTTTCCTCCCAGATCCAGCTGCTAACTTCACTAAGACAGAGAGGGAAAGAGACACAGTACAGGTAGGACAAAAGCCAGACGATGGAAAGAATTTGACAACAACCTGAATAAATTACTCTTGTTTGTTGTTCACTTCCCTTTCACAACACTTATCCTTGATCTAAAGTGTCGAAATCTTACTGACAATACTGAAGTCAGGCATGTTCGTGTGGCCGCATGGATTACTTTGTAGGTTTCAAGAAGGAGAATACTTCAGATTATACACATGGAGCATTTATTTCTTTGACATGTGTTTAACATGGTAGTTATGAACTGGATTTTTCTCACCACTAGCTCTCTGAGGCAAGCTTGGTGTATCCAGGTACTTGAACAAATTACCTCAAAGGGACTCAGTGGGGTTTTCAACTTTTTTAAGCTGGTTTAGCAACCCCTCAGTACTTTTTTGTTAAACTCCCTCTCTCCCTTGAAAGTGCAACTAGCCATTAAGTGGGCTAATTAATAGTACTCTGGAAATGGGCTACTTAGAATGTGTGTAATAATTCAAATAAACAACTGGGAGGGCTTTCACTGGGTGCAACATCTGTATTTGTGGCTAGAATTCAGTTCAGTTTATTCATTTGTGAATGGGGAGCCATTTTTTACATTAACAAAAAAACCCCGTGACTTAGGTTTGACGTCAACATCTCAGACAAAGTATTCATATTGAATTGAATGTGTCATGGTTCCCTGCAATAGAATGTAGAAGTATTTTTCTACTCCACAATGAAACATATAATTCTGACCTACCTGTGAGAAACTGCTGATTAAAATTTTTCAATTTAGTGATTCAGTTTTATCTAATTACAGTAAATGTTATAAGAGTAGTGTTACTTATCATTGAGAGTGAATTTTATAAAGCATTGTCAAGCATTTTGCTATGAAGATCATTAATAAAATGAGCTTTTATTGTAAAAAAATACTTTGGGCTTGGCTGGGAATTTGTTTGATAATGTTTGAACCAATAGGGAGCTTTTTTCATGATCATATTGAAAAGTATAACAGAAAGAAAGGGATCTCCTGTCATGCCCCTATACATTGTGAATGAACGACATGAATGCTCAGAAATCAGGCGACCTGACACTGACAATGAACGTCCTTGTTTTTTGTTCGTTTTCAGCCTAGAAGAGAAGAAAATATGTCAAATTTCGATGTAGTTATAACTGTCCGGCAGTGTGTTATGGCACAGGATATAATGCGAATTACAAATCCATAATTGGACAAATAATATAAAATACAATGTAAGGATGCACTATATATTGCCATTTGATAGGACATTGTCATACCAACAATTGTACATGGCAACATGTTTGATAAAACACATTTTGCCAAATTATAGACCAGCCTATTCCAGCTTCAACTAGCATATATCTGTGTGCGCAAATTACGCAGTGGATCAGACTGATAACAGGGATGGCAAAGAGGCTGCTTGGTTCTTCCAAGTGCCGCCCAACGTAGGGCTGAAAAATCGGTTTGCATTGCCTACCTGTAGCCTTAACTTAAGAGACCGGGAGAGCGTTTTAAGAATGGGAAGAGCATTCCCCTTTAAACAAGGTGGGCTGAGCTTATTTGCAGTTCTCGCTCCTATGGCAACCCAATAGATCAGCATCATGAATATTCACAATTCGCCAAAACGCACCATGACTATGGATCAGTGATGTCAGCGGTCCCTGGAAATGCTCTACTGTATTTTGCATGATTGTGTCGCGTTGTTTGATGGCAGCTGGCAAGACAACTGGTGAAAAGAGCATCCTCCGTCGTGCATGACCTTTCCATCGTCTCCGTATCACGGTCCGTCGGCACGTCCCTCACATGTCACGCTAAGGTGACTTTCAAGCAGTTTTTTCCACTTTTGCGCACAATGTCGGAACGGCACAAAGATGTACATCGGGGACGCAGTGGCCAAGCGGACCGCCCAGGCTGTGCGTGAGGGCATATGCAAACTGTCAGGTAGTCTAATTATGAAAAAGAGTATCTCTCATCTGTTTCAGTAGAGCCACGGCGGTCCATGTCATGTGTAGCAGGCTTTCAGGGATTCAGATTAGCTCCAGACTGATCGCTCTCACAAACAGATAGGGAGCGCGGGGCTGGTGGCAGTAGTCGTTACAATACAGCCAAACAATCTGGATTTATTTGATTTTCTCCACTGTGTCTCAGTGTCATAATGGACAGGTTGCACTCCTCCATGCGTAAAAGGCTCTACAGTTTGCCACAGCACATTGGACAGAAAGCATCTATAATGGGCGAAGGAGAAGACGCAGACAAGGACACCCGGAGGAAGAGTATTAGGATGAAGCCTCTACCGTCACCGTCGCCGACCTCTGGGGGAAGCTGCAAAGGCATCGGGGAGACCAAAAGTGGGGAGTCTGTGATCATGGAGACGGACATAGGGAGACCCTTGAAGACCAGCTCAAACGGAGATTGCCGGAGATTTCGAGGCAGTCTCTCGTCCATCACAAGTCGGCATGTGCACGACTCTGACTCGGCGGAGGAGAGGCGCCTCATCACCGAGGGGGATGTCACCCCAAGCGAGGAGAGCCCCCCCGGAGCCATCGGTGATGGGCCGCCGGATCAAGGCGCGCAAGGGGCCAGTGGTGACGGCAGTACTCAAAAAGATTCCCCAGACCAGCAGTCAGGTTTTATAAAGTTGGACGGCATTGATCAAATTCTGCCGGACGACGAGAGATTATATCAAGCTGGGTTCATACACAGACAGTTTGGAGCAATGCTTCAACCAGGGGTCAACAAGTTCTCCCTGAGGATGTTTGGAAGTGAGAAGGCGGTTGAACGGGAACAGGAGCGGGTTAAATCAGCCGGATTTTGGATAATTCACCCTTACAGTGATTTCAGGTAAATTTAGACATATTACAGACCTGCTCTCCAAACAACAAAGGGTTCAGAATGAAGCGTCACGTTAACGTCGATGCCTCGCTCAGGCCCAGATGTTTTTCTCAGTGAGTGGATCCTTTATTAGGACATTCAACTACTCAAGAGCAGGTCATTCACTGTTTTATTCAGCCTCATAGCACCTTCATCACTTATATTACTCCTTTGCCTTGAAGGAGGACATTTTTTAACAAAGCCATAATTGTTATCAGTTGGCTTTTCTGCTTTATAAAAAATCCTTACAATTTACTAATTCGTTTACAGATTAATAAGGGATTTCTCAGTGCCATAATACAGAAGAAGAATTATGTTCATTAGTTTCAGGGTATGCACGTATTACTCACAAGGCCTAGATACACTGTGTTGTGTTATGGAAGAACCCACAGATAACACAACCTTTGCTAATTAGGCCAATTTACCTATCTTGGGCATATGTTATCCATATGGATACATCATTGAAGCTCTTTAGTGGTTTATTCTCCCTTATTTGAGAAAACTTGTGCACAGGGGACATGGTTTATCATTGATTAGTGTTAGTGATGAGGCCTTCACTTCACATTTTCTTTAAAGGCTTACATATTGATTTTCCTATTCTCCTTTTATACATGGCATTTTGAAAAGAAACAGGGTTAAGTAATTTTATTTGAATTCATTTTGATCAGTAGTTAAAGTTCAAGAGCCATTTGAAATTATCAACACATTTGATGCCTGCATTTAATAGTGCTGTCCACTTTGACACACTACAGCTGCAAAGCTGAATATAGAAAGTCTAGGAGCAACTCTTTTGTTGGCCTACACATTCCTCTCTGTTGTTAGTGCCCTTGAGTTTGTTATTGGCCATATGTATCTGATTCATGGCCACATGAAGGCTCTTCAATGCTAAGCAAGACTGTATTTAAGGTCCTTCGTCCTTGCTCTTAGGATTTTAGAATTGTTGTCATACAGTGCTTTTAAACAATTGGTGAAATTAAACAGTTTAACTCAAATGCATCCATATGCACGTACACTTTTTTAGCATCTCAGGTGATCAAATTCTAAGAAGTGTCAATGAGCTGTTTGTCTGCACTTGTTATTTATTGCCAAAACATTAATACTGTGGCTCAAACTACATACCATACACACTATAGCACATTTTCCTCAGGTAAAATTATTTCATCACAAGCTGTCAGCCTTGGCATTTAGTTCAAATATGCATCTACTGCTTATCATTTAAATCATCTGTGTCTTATTGGCCAGGATGGTGTATAATGTCATGTGATATAGAAACTCAGTTACCACAAAGGTGTATTTTCCTACCTCAGCAACAAGATGTCTGACTTGACTGAGAGACATGTGAGTTGTAGCGTGAGTTGCTCACAGGGTGTCAGTGGAAAAGGCTAAATAAGACTCTTCCTAGAACAGAAAACAGACACATTTATCTGCTTGTTTATCCTGGGAGAAGCGTCAGACACACTGTGGTGGCTAACATCGCTGGATGTTGTCTATTGAATTTTTCTTTTAAGATTGACTCATACGTCAGCTGTCATGAAAAGTAGTTTTTAATTGTGCAGTCTGTCAGTATTTTGCCCGTGTCTGCTCAGTCAAAACCTGTAAACAAGTGTAAGTCCCAGCCATCTGACGCATAATGTTGTTAGGGAACTATTTGCACATACACTAAAACAATTAGCAATTCCTATTTTCAAATCCACACACGGTTTAGACAGGTCTTCATCAGGAAGTGAGACATGTATTAGACAGTTTGCCATTTTTGTTGTGCTCCTCCCAGCTGGTTGTGTTTCCTCCGACCCCCTCTGCTCGCTTACTCACTGTGTGAAATGTCATGAGGAAGGGTGATTTGGGGCTTGGGGAGACTGTCCTGATACTGAAAGGTCAGAGACTTGGCATCGGCCATCAGTTTTGAAGTGTCTTTGAGAAAGACGCTGAAACAGGGGTTACGCACTGCACTCGGTGCGGTGAAACAGATGCTCTCTCAGTGAGATGTACCAAAATAAATAGATAAATGAAAATGCACTGAGAGAGAAGTGCTCTAGAAAATGAGGTTAGCCACCCACTTGTTCGGGGTCTGAGGAGGGATACTGTATATTACCATAATTAAACATTTTGGCGATCTGAGAGCAGTTTGCTTGTGGTTCAATCACTCAATGCTATGATTACGTAATCACTCGACTCTACAATTAAAACCACAGATGTGGCACTCAATCAGGACAGTGAAAAAAACTGAGCCCGTGCTTCGGCTAATTCTGTACGGGAAAAGCTTCTTGCACATTTCTCCGTGTCTAACATGAAAAAGACAAAGCGTACATTAACTCCTTAATTCGCAAGTAGATTAAAGGATAATGTCTCATTACTGAAGGAAGTCAACATCTATGACAGCTTTTTTATCAGTATTTAAATGTGTCAAATAATAATTGAAACCCATCTCTGTGTGGGATGGAGAAAAATAGTACGTCATGTCTGTGAGTTAGCCCGTCATTCTGAAATGAATAAAAGCTACTATTTTATTTTTAATGAACTAAAAGAGAAATATGATACTTCCTCCAAAACTAGGATCAGAGAAAGGACAAGATGGCTGTAATTAAAGTACACAAGGAGATGAGTGGGACCTTTTAATGGGCCCAAAGAAGAGAAGGGTCTCTGTGACTAAAAGTTTTATTCCCATGTCTGCATCAAAGCTTTGGCACTATAAGCTCAAATTAGAGTGTCACAAGAAATCACATAGTCATCACTGTGCTGGAATTCAGTAAAATCTCCTCTTGTCAAGTATTGTATAACGCTAAGAGGCAAGGGAGGAGCAATATCTTGCAAGGGAAAAAGACGGATTAAAAATGGCATCATAATCCAATCTACAGCCTCATTTCCAGATTCAAAGCTGAACAGCCTCCTTCGATTCTGAACAAGCATCTCCCAGTTAGCAGATGTGGTCAGTTAACCAGAGAGTGACATCTACAACCCCCCTCCAAAAAAAATAAGGAAACAAGCATTCCTACAAAATGACCGATTCGTATGGAGTCTTTTATATAAGGCCGATTATTACTGTCCTTGACCATAAAATATCTGTGGGGGTTTGATAGGATTGTTGAGCAGTATAATTGATGCTGAGATTACTGCCCTGTCTGCCATGCTCCTCACTGGCTTCTGTTGGATATCTGCTTTGCTCTGCTAGCTGCCCTCAAAATATGTTATGTTTCCTATTTAAAATCTGCTGTGCCATAAGCTGTGCTGAGGCCTATCGACGCTGCATGTCCTTGGTCGTAAAGAGAGATTGTGTAAAAGTCACAATGCTCATTGCCCCTTTTGAAGATAATAGAATTTTTCGGTGCTTGATTGACAAAATGATACCCCTTTCAGAGAATGGATCCTCTATCTTGGCATGATGAAAACCATGTGATGATTGTTTTTCTTACCTATTTGCACAGAGCCCTTTTGAGTGAATTCTATCAATGCAACAGCATTGTACAGAGTTCTAAACTAATGATGCGGTGCAATATTAAAATGCAGCCCTCTGATCGTCAAGTGCCTTTTAATTATCTTGTGATTCAGAGCCCAGAGGACACATCTGTTGGAAAGTCTTCTACATTTCCCTGGAGAGATAGAAAAGAAGATGTCGCACATTAGAACTTTTTTTTGCACTGAAGGCTCTATTAATCCCCCCCTTTTCTTTTAGAACTGTGTTGCCAACACTATCAGAGAGGGGGGTCAGCTGTCCTGCAGTTTCTGTCAATCAGTTAAATCCCTTTGCAACAGTCAGGCGAATCCTTCCATCCCCTCTGCAAGGTCCACTTTTTCAACAGCCTTTTATTCCTCCCGCACATCCAGTTCTGTTTCCCAGAAGACACTTACCTAGACAGTGGCAAAAATAAATCCTCTGAAAAGACATCTTACAATTTTGCTTCTGCTATTTTTTTTTTACAGAGAATACATTAAAGAAAAGCAGAGCAGATGTAGTCACTGTTGTGCACATTAAGACTGTGATATAGTTAAAGGGAAGTAACTTTTAGGCAAAGTGTTGACTAAATGAAAATGTGCACTGTGTTCCTGAAGCCGTTTATGTTACCTATTAATTTAACCAGTTTCTGATTTGATGATTTCATTCTGTTGCTAAAGTGAGTCATAGCATTTAATATCCTCCATTAGCCCAAACAGAAAAAAATGTTTTTGGAGAGCTTCACACAATATTATCATAACTATGTTGACTTTTGCATATTTGCATATCTCAGTCTTCAAAAGACTAAAATGGTAAGTAGTGGTGATCAATGTACTTCATCAGAATAAAGAGAAAATACTAGCTGTGCTACCTGTACTTAGATTGCCCTTGTTTTTTGTGGGAAATCTGGGTGAAATAAATCCCATGGTTATTATTCCCTTGATGAATCTTGAAATATTTTATTTACTGCAAAAATCGTGCACCTTAGCTTTACAGTCTTTATCAAACATTAGCAGCCACTAACAGCTGCAGGCTTTTTGTTGAAGATACAGTACTGTACGGGAGTGTCTGTGCGTATTGTGTCTGTGAGTGGATGGGATCAGATTAAATAGCAGCATTCTCTATTTCAGTCAGGTTGATTACAGTTGATTTGAGAGTATGTTTCGCTATTGATTTGTTTGGGTCTCGTGGGGCCTCTAGCTTGCCATCGGTGGATTTATTGAAAAATGAGATGGAGAAACATACACGGCTGAAGAGCGGGTGATTCCCCTTATGTGGCGGTGACCGGTGTCATAATCTGGGTGAGAGTTACACAAAAGTCAAGGTGAGGTGCTGGAGACGCAGTGGAGGAATTTAAAGCCTGCACATAAAGAGCCCCATTTAAACCGCTTTGACAGTTTTTCAGTGCAGTAAGTCTTAATGATGATGATTGCAAATCCATATGAGATCAAAATCTTTTAAATAAACGATGCATGAATTGAGTCCTGACTGTAGAGTGTTAGCGTGTGCACTCGTAGAGCATGTCTTCTTGTCTTGCAGT